TTGGCAAGTTGGTTTTCATTGGTTGAGTTGTTGCTGCAGGGAATGCACCAAGGAGCTGTTGTCTCCCGGGCTTTTATTAAATTGAAAAATGATGCAATGCCTAGGCATATAGTTCAGAATCAAATAGATAAATTTCTAGACACTGAAGGTGTTTGACTTTGACATAGAGGATGAGCCATGATTATGTTGAATGGCAGTGCAGGCTTGATGGGTTAAATGGCTGACTCCTGTTCCTATTTTCTTTGTTTCGATGTCCCCTTTCCCTGCAAAGGTCCTGAGCATGGGCTGTCCAAGTACGGTCAATACCAGCTAACAGCTGAAGGGACATGCAGTTTGAAACAATGCTAATCATTGGGATATATGGCCCCTGAATCTGGCATCGCACTGGCACTTCACATACCATATGTCTCATTTGTGTAAGGCATCCTTTATAGAATCACAACAGTATGGAAACAAGCCATTCAGCCCATCGCGTCCACACTGATCCTCTGAAGAGCATCCCATCCAGACACAACCACTACCCTATCCCTGCATTTCCCACCCCCAGACACAATGGGCAATTTAGCATGACAAATACATCTAACCTGCACATCTTTGGACTGTGGGAGAAAACCAGAGCACCCAGAGGAAACCCACACAGACACAGGGAGAATGTACAAACTCCACACAGACAAGCACCCATGGCTGGAATCAAACCCGGGTCCCTGGCGCTGTGAGGCAGCAGTGCTAGCCACTGAGCTACCGTGCCACCCCACTTTTTCTTTCTAGAAAAATAGAATCCTTGTCGCTTGACAGCAACATCCTATTAGTGGAAAATGCCAGTCATGTTGCCACTGCATAATGGAAAACTTTGTCTGTTAGTCAAATGTTTGAGATATCAGTGTAATCCAAGGGCAGTGGGGGATGCTTCAGATCTGAAAAGGGCAGGCTTAGACCCATTCATAAGTATGCACAATATACAGGGAGCAATGATCTGATTGGTTAACTATCCGGCAGGATGGCTTTCATGTGTCTTATTTGGATATCAAGCTAGACTGAGGAGAAAATGGTTCAGACTCTATTTCCAAGATTGTCCATAAGGACAGGTTTATACTGTGTACAGTTGTAGGAATCCCAATATGTATATTGACCATGATGGTGGGTGGCACATGGCAGACAGTAGTAGAGAACTCATTAGTGCCTTTCCCAATGAGCACATTGTTAGGCTGCCCATTCACAAAGACGAGTACAAGTGCTGGATCATGAAATCATAGAATCCCTACAATCTGGAAACAGGCCATTCGGCCCATCATATCTACACTGACTGCCTGACGAGCATCCCACAGAGACCCACCCCCCATCCTATCCCTGTGACCCTGCAATTACCATGGCTAATACACCCAAGTGTATATCCATGCACACTATGGGCAATTTAGAATGGTCAATTCACCTAACCTTGAATCAGAGATAGTAGGAACTGCAGATGCTGGAGAATCCGAGACAACAAGGTGCAGGGCTGGATGAACACAGCAGGCCAAGCAGCATCATAGGAGCAAAAAGGCTGACGTTTCGGGCCTAGAGCCTTCATCAGAAAAGGGGGAGGGGAAGGAGGTTCTGAAATAAATAGGGAGAGAGTGGGAGGCGGATAGAAGAGGGATAGAGGAGAGGATAGGTGGAGAGGAAACAAACAGGTCGAAGAGGCGGGGATGGAGCCAGTAAAGGTGAGTGTAGGTAGGGAGTTAGGAAGGGGATAGGTCAGTCCAGGGAGGACGGACAGGTCAAGGGGGCGGGATGAGGTTGGT